CTACAACTTATTTGGAATACAATATCAATCCAGGTGGAAATAGAAGGTACAAGCTCGATGACGCTTCAAACTGCTTTCGGTGCACGATTCCCACCTAAAAATGAAAGAGCAAAACGCATGAGTGAGCTCATTCATACTAATTCAATGAAGCAACAGTCGGAAGAAAAATGATAAAGTCAATTAAATGAATCATTGATCAGCAAATAAAAGAGCGAGAGAGTCACGAGTTCGCTCTGCATTATCTAATACATACTAAGGCAAGAGTTGTTGACCCATATCAGAGTAAGTAAGTAAGTCTGCCGTAAAATCTAAACTATTTAGACACTAGACCAGTCAGGTATAAAAGTGTCACCTTTTCTCTTATTAGAGACAGATGCATTGGCATTGTTGAATGATCCATTGTCATTGGCACCTAAGTTCTGATTAGCGATGCATTGAAGCTGATCAAACTCACAACCACTTAAACCTTGGTCATTGATCGATGCACCTTCTTGGCTATTCCCACCAAACCCATCTTGAAGACAATAAACTTCATCATCGCATTGTACATTACACGGATTCATCATATGCGAGAAAGAAGGAATATTAGCAGCCATAGGTTTCTGATAAGGAAAAGCTCCAATCTCCCCATCTATCCTTCCTCTTAAATCAACAAGCAAACACTTAAGCCTCGAAACCTCAGCTTCCAAGGTAGCCTGATTTTGCAACCTCTTCACCAGCTGCTGATTCACCGCCCTAAGCCTCGCAACCTCGTCCTCCAACGAAGCAGCTTTCGCCTTCTTCTTCTCTCTATACTTTCTAACCGCTTCTCGGTTCCCCAAAGGTCTCTTCTCGCCTTTTTTCCCGCAGGATTCAGCTGTATCATCAGTGGAAACTTTCTCATCGCTCTCATCAGGGAGAATCTTGGTATGGACATGGAAACATGTGTGAGTATGAGTGTTCTCTGGTCCCGTTGGGTTACAGGTGTGAGTGTGTGTACAAGCAGCTTGATGAGAATCCATCAAAAGACCATCAAAGAAACTATCCATCGAACAGTTACTAGGTGGTAACTCACCAATGTCTGAACTCGAAAACACTTCCTGATTCGAGAAATCAAGCTCACCGTCTTCCATTACGGAGAGAGAGAGAAAAAAAAACTAAACTTTTTACCACCCAAAATCGATGATTTCTAGATACGATACAAATTTCGCCGAATCAAGTAAAAACCCAAGTCAAATCTCGAGCTCCAGAATCAATCAAAAACCCTAAATTTCACAACAATTCGAGAAATTCAGCACAAGTCAATACTCAATTTCAACAAATTCGATAATTCCGATCTGTGATTGAGAGAGAGCAAAACCGTACCTTTACGAGATTCGGATTAGCGAAGAGAGAAACGATTATAAAGATCCAAGAGAAACCCTAAAAAAATTCGAATTTGATAAGACT